CAGGACTGGATGCGTAAGAATGGAATTCTTCATCAGACGTCGGCCCCTGACACACCGGCTCACAACGGAGAGGTACTGCAAACCATGATGCGTTGTCTCCTAGAAGATGCCAACTTTGATATGATATACTGGGGTGAAGTTATCAAGTATGCAAATTACATTGTCAACCGTACTTGGAGCAGTGTAATAAATCAGACTCCTTTCTTCATGTTGTATGGCTACAAGCCTGATCTTAAAAACATCCATATTTTTGGTTCATATGCTATGGTGAACATTCCCTTAGCTCAAAGAAGAAAAGGAGGTCCAACAGCAAAGAGACTGAGATTTATGGGTATTGATGATAACTCAAAATGGAGCAGATTTATTGACTCTAAACATGCAATTGTGATTTCCCAATCTGCAAATTTTGAAGAAGATATTGACTGGTCCAGGATTCATTCCAATGATCCTGGAGTTTATTTTCCTAGAGATGATACTGCTGATGCCACACAGATTGATGATCAAGATTCCACTGATTCTTCTCAACCCGATATTCCGTCTTCGCAAGCCGCGGATGCTGATGCTAGCGACGAAAGTGAGGACGAGGATAAAGCAGAAGAAGACTGGACTGTTGTTCCGAGACGTTCCAAGAGGGCCACAAAAGGAATCCCTCCACAACGATATTCTTGGCAACTGACAAAAGCACCCTTGCCTTTGATTTGCAATGTCACACTTCCACCTGATAATTTCACACAAATCAAGCAGCTCCCTGATTCAGAGCAAGACAAATGGTATGATGTAATGCAGGTTGAAATGGATAGTCTAAAGAAACTTAAAGTGTTTACACCTGCAAAACCTCCAGCAAACAAAAAGATCATTGGCACTCGATGGGTCTATAGAATCAAAAGGAAACCAAATGGTGAGTCACTGTACAAAGCCAGGCTTGTAGCTCAGGGTTTCGCTCAACGTTATCCTGAGGACTACACAAATGCTTACTCACCAACAGTCAGAACTGAGAGTGTAAAAATTGCTTTAGCAACTGCAACTATCCTTGGTCTAGAAGTTTTCCAGTTTGATGTTGACACGGCTTATCTACATGCAGACCTAGACGAAGAGATCTACGTGAGAAGTCCTCCAGGATTCCAACAGCAAGAAGGGGATACCTGGTTCCTAAACAAAAGTCTTTATGGTCTGAAACAATCTGGTTTAATGTGGTATTTATGTCTTACTGACAAACTAAATTCAATGGGCTTTATTAAGTCCGAAACTGATGAGTGCATGTTCACAAAAAGATCTAACAATGCATATGAGATAGTTCTTGTTTATGTTGATGATATTGTTTATATTGGTCCAAATAAGCAAATGAGTGAAATTTTTGCCAAAGCTTTGCAGAGATACTTCACATTGAAATCATTAGGTCACATTAGCACTTATTTAGGTGTTCAGATTGAAAAAACACAGAAGGGGTTTAGTCTTTCACAAGAAGATAAAATTGAACAAATTTTGCATCATTGCAACATGAAAGATGCTAACACGACAAAGACACCCATGCAAACAGATTTTCACAACTTGACACAAGAAGAAAGTCCTGAGTTCGAGGATCAAACACTTTATTGTTCAGTCATTGGGTCACTATTATACATTAGTAGTTGGACCAGACCCGACATTGCACTTAGTGTTAATCTTTTATCTCGACACGTAGGTAAGGCAAAACAGTTTCATTGGACATGTATTAAGAAATTATTGAGATACCTAAAGTACACTAAACACATGAAGTTATTGTTAGAACCAACACATACTGATTATGCAGAATTATGTTGTTATGCTGATTCTGATTGGGCAAGTGATAAGAAATCACGCAAAAGTACTTCAGGTTATATGATGTTCTTAAATGGATGTCCTGTTTATTGGCAAGTACGTAAACAGAATTTTGTTTCTTGTTCATCTACTGAAGCTGAATATGCTTGTGTTTCAGATGCATGTAATTCCCTAACTTGGTTTGATGCTTTAGTCACAGATATCTGGACACACCTGATCCGACCGATCACCGTGATGGAAGACAATGAATCGGTGGTTTATATTTCTGAATCTCATTTCACAGGTTCTAGGTCCAGACACATTGACATCCATTATCAAAACATAAAACATTTAGTGAAAAAATGTTTTAGTTTTGTCAAAATGCAATATGTATCTACACATGATCAAATTGCTGATATGCTCAACAAACCACTTCCAGCAGCTCAACACGAGTATCTGCGTGAGAAGATGTGCCTTATTTGATGATGAACTGATATTCGCTCAACTGGGAAAGAAGGGGAATGTCACTGCGTTATTTTATTTACCAGCTGAGCTCATTATTTTCTGGACTATCTGACTCTCCGTACCTTGCCAAGAATTGTTATCAAAAGCTACTACGCATGTCCATCCACCCACATTCCTTCTCACACTCTTTCCTTTGTTCTCTTGCCACGGGTGCCAGTTGCTGAAAGGCAGCTGGCCCAAATTACTTCCAAAATGTAACAATTAACTTTTCTTAGTTAGTGAGGTGTTTTATTTTCTTTATAACAAATAAATGAGTTTTATTAGAAACTTTTCCTTGCGTTTTTTTTCAGATTATTGCAAACAAGGATAAGCCTCGATTCATCTCCTCTAAACCAGGGTAATTAGTCCCAGAGCCAAACATGGGATTAATAAATGCCCTGACAAATATCTTCTGAAATTCTGGCTGGGATTTTAAAGGTTCAACCTGAGGAAGTATTTTGTAGGATTGACAGAGTTTATAGAATAAATTCCTGGATTGCAAAGCAAAGGCAATTGCCTAGAGATGTGGTGATTTATTTTACAGATAAAGATATAAGAAATAATATTGTGCAAAATTCTTTCAATTCTACTTTGCAATAGTTTGGAAGAAAGATTTGGATTTACAAAGAGCTCCCGCCTAAGATGTTATTGGAAAGGAAGAAATTTGGTTTTCTGGTGACTGACCTAAAAAAAAGAAAAATTCTATTCAGGTGGGACGCTCCAGTTGGTATAATATTGAGATATCAAGGAGAAAGATACCAATTAAATACTGTTGAAAAAGCAGAAGAATTTTATCAAAAAATCTTGAAAATGAATTTAACATCTTTAGGCACAATACAGGATAAGCAGAAGGAATTGGAAATAAAGGCAAAACATCGAATTATAGAGGCTGCTGTGGATAAATTGCTTTTGGATTCTTCAGACACCTCAGCTGGACTACTACAAATACGAGAGAAGTGGCATCGGACTCCAACGTGATGATTCATCAAGTCATAGACAAGTATGGAAACCAATTAGCTGATACACAATTGATAAAAAAGAAATATGAGACACAAAGGCAAAACCAACAAGATCAAGTTATAAAGCAGAATGAAAACCGACCAGTTGATATACAATTTGCAGAAAGGAAACCAGGATGGAGATTAAACCCACAAAAAGAAAAGAAAAAAAGAAATAGGTCTCATAAAAATAGAAATTTCTAAATTAAGCAACAGTGAAGCCAGTTATTTTAAAAAATGAATGAATATGTGAAAAGACAGTGGAGGCGAAGTATTGGTTAATATGATCCTAAGGACAGTGACAGACCTCTGCAATGCCATAATTTTGGGATGTGAAAAGAGCCTTAAACTGTTGGATTTGAATTATCTATTTTGGATTTCTTTCTTTTATCGATAAATATATTATAATTATCTTGAGCTATAAGGCAAGAGAGCTACGCTGGGGCATGCAGAAGATCTGGTTGTTACCCATTAGGATGATGGGAATTAATAATCCTGATGAAAGCCACAATTACAACTATATGGAATATAATCCTAATGTCACTCGGGTGGTTGTTTTTTTCTTTTATATATATATATGAGGATATTCATTACTGATGGGGGCAGATGATGACTGAAGATTTTGAACAAACTGTTGCACCAGGATGCTATGTTACTCTATTATGGATGATGGACTCAACAATCCAGTGGAAAGACATCAAAGAAGATATTATATGGATTATAAATTTAAAGTCATTGACTTTTTTTTTTATATAATGGAATATATATATATATATATATTTAGCAGAGTGGGCAGTGGATTAAAGATATTAAGAATTGTTGTGCATGGCAACTTTGTATGAAGTGGATGGAAGTAGGTTAGCTTATTGATTGTTTAGTCTAAGAAAAGGGATGTTTAAGTGATATATTTAGGAGAGTGGAGCAAATGGATAGAGTTGAATAAATGTTAAATTAGGACTTATGGGGTAGGCTGCTTAGAAATGTTATATTAATATACATAAAAGACTAAATGTTAAAGTAGGATTTATTATATAGTTTTAAAGTGGAAGGTTGTTTTGAAATGTTGTATTAATATATAGATATAAGTATGGAGGAGGAGAAAAAGGGCAGATTATTGCTAAATTGGGAGTTACAATAATATTATAAGTTATAAATTAGAAGTTATACAATGTTACAGTAGAATGTTATTTTGAAATGTATGGTAAAAGGGGGAAGTAACAATATTAATAATATTATTAGTAAGTAAGGGTCAGTATTTAGAGGAGGGAGTAAGGGATGGTAAAATATTATATAATCTGTTATGAATTGGGTTTTTGTTGTGAAGAAGTCACAGGGGGGGATAGGTGGTGAGGGGGGTTAGGGTGGAGGGGGGGAGAAAAATGGGGGAAAAATTTGTATTCAAAAACTTTTTCAATAAAAAAAAAATTATAGCAACTTGCTAAATTTATTTACAATCTTCCAAATAAATAGTAGCCAAGGGCCACTAAAAGTATTTTAAATCAAATTGGTTGATTTCACACTACATTTTAGATACTAATTTGCAGTTTTAAATTAGTTAATGCCCATTAGTATGCATGACTGCTAATGAAAATGGTCTCATTGGATATTTTAAAAATAATAATGATATTGGGTTTTTTTTTTTGATAATAGAAAGCAATGCCCATAATCTGATATGAGTGCATATTTCTTTTTTCAATATAAGATATGATTTATTTTCTTTAGAAATTACATGCAATTCTCCAAGAATATCAAATGGTTCTTTCCGACCTCAAAGAACTTTATACCATGATGGGGATCTAATTCGAATTCTGTGTGACAGTGGATTTACTTTTGAACCTGATAATGGAGAAAAGGTAGTTGAGTGCACGAGAAACGGATGGTCACTTTCACCAAAATGTGTCAGTAAGTAGAACTTCCATGTATTGCTAAGACTTATAGAAGGGCTAAGATATTTAACTCTGTGGAAGTGTACTTTTTAACATTATTTCATATAATTTTCCAATTATTTTTGCCCAAGGGATTTATCTCACCCAGAACATTTTGGTAGATTTTACACTTTTGTTTATTTATTTGTCAAGCACATATTAGATAGCATATATAAGTATAAACCTGATTATGAATACATGAAATGGATATAAATAAAAGTGGGCATTAGGACAGGGTGGGTAGGCACGTTGGTGCACTTATGCATGCCTCTTACAAACCTCTTAGGAATGGGGTGAGGTCAACAGTAGACGGTCTAAGGTTAAAGTTTTGGGGGTGTGGGGATGAAACCACAGAGTCAGGTAGTGCATTCCAGAAATTGACCACTCTGCTGCTGAAGTCGTATTTTCTGCAATTGAGTTTGGAGGGATTTACTTTAAGTTTGTATCTGTTTTGTGCTCATGTATTGTGGTTGAAGCTGAAGTAGTCATTGATACAATATCATTTCATTCACCTTAAAAAGATTCTTTCTTTTGAAATACATGTGGGATGTATGCAAGAAACGTGTTTCAACAAAATGTGGATCAGTGTTTATTAACTGCATGAAAATGGTGGGAGTCCCTTGGCATCACCCAGAATTGGTAGCATCCTAGGGGACAATTGAACACTGTCATTTGTCTCCCTCTTAATCCTCACTTGGTAGTATGCCTCCCTCAAGTCCAGTTTAGTGAAGATTTCCCCCCTTGCTAAATAACCTACCATGTTTTCCCAAAAATAAGACTCTGTCTTATTTTCTTTTCGGTCCCAAAATAACCACCAAGTTTTATTTTCAGGAGATGTTTCACCCCCTTTCCTTAGGACCATTGCAGTCACGCTTCCCACACCCTGACACCTGTCACACCACTGTAAGATGCCACAAGGCTCATAATGCTGCTGCTGCCACTTATGGCAGGAAGTCACATGGCTCATCATGCTGGTTCTTCCGTTCACAGCAGAAGGCTGCGTGGTGTGTTGTGTTGTTGTGTGCATGACCATAATGAGACTCATGGAATTCTGCCATGAGCAGCAGCACCAGCAGGACGACCAGCAAGCAGCTGCAGAAGAAGTTGTACAGTGGCATGACAGGTGTCAGGGCATGGGAAACCTGGTTGCAATGGTACTAAAGTAAGTGGTTATGGAGTGCATGGAGAAGCTCCACCCCCCACCCCTGCCTTAGCTTGATTTTTACTCCTACGCCTTGCTCTACCTCGTACAACCAGATAGTAGGTGTTGCTTAACTAGGGTTTATTTTTAGGATTTGACTTATATTAGGCATAGATGTGAAAATCAGACTGGGGCTTGTTTTCAGGGAAGGTTGTATTTTCAGGGACACATGTCTCTGAAAATTAGGGGGAGACACATAAGCAGTTCAGCCCCTTGTAATCTACGTGAAACCTAAGGGACCCTTCTTTCTCTTCCTTGAAGAGTAGCGAGGCAGCCATTCTTGATTTCACTGGCTGAATGAACCCCCATTCCAGCTTCTTATCTATAAATGCTTGAAACGCATCTATCTCTTTGGGGGTCATCAAGTACATCTTTGGCTTGGACAGTTTAGCTCCCGGTATGACCTCTACTGCACAGTCAGTGGGTTGATGAGGTGGGAGCACATCTGACTCTATCTCACTAAAAACCTCAGCCAAGTCACAATATTCTGCCATAATTAGCAGTTCTTACCCATCTCCTCTTCTTAGTATATTCGCAGGTTCTGCTTTTACTTTCCTAACGTCAGGTGCAGGGCTGGTCCTCTGCACTTTCCATGGCCCTTGCCAGTTAGAAGCTTTTTTCTGCATCCCCCGCCTATCTTTGTCCCAATCCACAGAAGGGTTCCACTTTTGCCACCATGCCAGGCCTAGGACCACGGCCTCAGTCATAGCCAGGGATTAAAATAAATTAAATAGTCTCCACGTAGTTCCCTGCCTTGAACTTCACTGGCTCAGTTAGGCAGGTAGCTGGCACACCACCTGTTATAGATTTCTCCAATTGGGAAAATATTATGGGTCACTTCAGCTCCCTCAGTCTCAGTCCAAGTCTCTACACCACCTGGGGGCTGACCACACACCTGGGACAAATCACACCTGACCAACTCACCATGGGCCAAATCTCTGCAGGGCAAGAATCACACTAACATCAAACAAATGGTGGAATAGAATAATTAAAGAAAGGATGCAAATGGAGGGACAAAATGAAATGTGAATGACAAAAATTAAAATTATTTTTAAAATTATTTTAAATAATTAAATTGAATTGTTGAATTATCCTGCAGCAAATTGGCCATGGTGAGTTTGCTGCATCATTTTATTTTTTATTTTTATTTTATTTATTTTGTCAAGCACATATTAGATAACAGATATAGATATAAACATGGTTACTAATACATGAAATGGTTACAAATAAAAGGGGGACATTAGGACAGGGACGGTAGGCACATTGGTGCGCTTATGCAGGCCCCTTTTGTTGTCCCATTCTGTAGATAAAGAGCTACTGCTTGTCCTCCAACAGCTTCCCAATCTCACAGAATAATAAAAGTGCTGGATAAAGTCATTTCCTTCCTCACATATTCCTCTCTTGTTACCTCTCTAAGCTCTGACAGCCTTGTGTGACTGGTAGGTTTGGCAGAAGAATTGGGAGCTTTATATTAGAGTTCATTGGAACTCAGCAGAACAAGAAAATAAAGAATGTCATGATTATGAACAGAACAGAACAGAACAGAACATCAATTGATTAGTCTTGTGACCTTATCAATAAGATAAAAGAAAAATAAAACACATAATCTGGTTCCAGGATAAAATAGATTCCCTCTGTGTGTAATGGGAAGTTCTCAAATGTGTTTAAAAAAAGGCTTCATTTTGAACAGCATGTTGGCAACAGTAGGATATTTGAAAAAAAAGAAAAGAAAAGAAAAGAGGGATGCATTTAGAGTTTCTCCTGGATGGGAGCCATTTGATCTTTTTCAAATCAATCAATTGCCTTTTGCAGTATAGAATCTGATTGAGAAATGACTGCATTTCTGGATGCCCATTGTCATCTATCTTGGTATTCTTTGATTGCCTTTGAGGTAGTCCAGGTCAGGAAACTAACTCCACCAATTTGACTGGATCTTTATTGATATAGGCCAGTAATGGCTAACCATTTTGCCATCGCGTGCCGGGGGGGGGCGGGGGAGGTTCACACCCACACGTGTCCTCACCTGTAATTCTATGCGCCCCGCCCTGCACATGCGCACGCAACCCCCTCTTCCACCCCCGCTTCTGGCACGTGATGGCCCGGTAGGCCCGTTTTTCTTTCTCACCTGGCATCTCACCTCTCTATGCATCTGGGGAGGGCGAACACAGCCTTCCCCACCCCCTCGGAGATCAAATTACTCTTTACATTGTGTGGGCAAAGAAGGCTAGACTAAAATAACCAATGGAAGCATTATTTAAACTGATCAACATGTGAACAATGTTGTGACTTTAGCTGGCCTAATGTTGATGATATATTTTGTCATAATTTATTTTTGGCCTATATTCTATCTCTCTTGAATCACTTCAGAAAATTGAAGTCTTGTATCCTCTATCCATTTAGATGCAATGTGTCCCACACCCCCTATAGTTGAAAATGCTGAAATTATTGAAGATACAATGAAGAAGTACCTGAATGGCGAGAAAATAAATTATCAGTGTAATGATGGTTTTGATATACATGGATCAGCTGCTGTAACATGTAGACAAAATAACTGGTCACGCTTGCCAAGATGTGTAGGTAGGAATGTATGGTCTATAATATTTTTGCTGAGATTCACAAAATTCACATGGAGAGTACATTTTTTAAAAAAATCAGAAATTAAATATTATTAATCTGAACCATTCATCCAAGCTGATCCTGTGTTGTTGCTCTTAATTTTCCTGTTTGACAAATAGATAAGCCTGTGGACATTTTGATATACTCATCATTTTTCCACCCATCCCCAATTGCCCAACTTCCAACCCACAGTCCAGCATTCCCCCTCAGGTGGCCTGCAAAAAGGAGCAAAATATAGCCTTTAACTAGTCAGGAAAAAAAAATAAGTTACAACTTAATTGCAGGACTATTCTTCAGAATAATTAGAAAGGATGGGGAGACACTTGCCAATGGTAACTGGTATCTTGAGCTCTAGAGGGTAGAGACACTGAGAGCTGGGAGACAGGATGAAGCTGAACTTCCTCCAATTTGAAATGTTTTCTTTTCTGTTCAAGAAGAAATGCAGCTCAATACCCGTGGTAATATTTCCTCTGCTTCAGCATTTCCTAATCGGAGGTGGGAGTGTCAGCCTAGATATCCAGTCTATGTGAGGTCATGGAAACCCAGCATGAGGGACAGATTTTAGATTAGTACAATGTTTGTGTCTGGAAATATCACCTGTGGTTGACTTGCCTACCTTGAATGATCAAGTTTGACTGCATATTTATTTTTCCTCCGCTTCTACCCCATCACAATCTAGAGACTGTTAGCTGCTTATATAGAGTATAAAAACCAAATATAACATCCTCAGTATAATCAACTGTAAAAATAGTAAAGCAACAGAACGGACTAAGCAACCTTTATATTAATCTGTTCTCTCTCATCCAGATCTGATGGTTTCCAAACATCAGCAAAGGATATTGAGACTATCTTCCTCACTGCCTAGAGTAGAGGATCACATTTTTTTTTTTTATTTATTTTATGTATTTATTTATTTTGTAAAGCATATATTAAATAACAGATACAAGTATAAACATGATTATGAATACATGAAATGGATAAGAATAAATGGGGACATTAGGACAGGGCTGGTAGGCACATTGGTGCACTTATGCATGCCCCTTACAGACCTCTTAGGAATGGGGTGAGGTCAACAGTAGACAGTCTACTTGCATCCATTGCTTTGATATCAATTGCTTTGATATCCAGCTTCATGACAGACTGATTGGAAGGGAAAAGGCCAGAATAGTTCATCATGCAGGGGTTCACTAAATAGCTTCTTTTCTGCATGTAGTTCATAGAAGGATTTAAATTTCTTGCAGGATAATCTAGTTATTTATTTATTTACACAAACATAACACTGCCATTAATCTGTGGCTGATCAGATATCATGACAGTATTGATTGAAAGCACCCGGTTTCATTTCTTCAAGAGCAGTAGAAACAGGTGCTGTAGGAGGAAGAGGAGCTTCCTCTGTCTGTAGCCTCACACTCTCCTCACCTCAAAGGGAAGCACCCTCAAGCCTGTATCATCACCCTTGTATTTTCTGTGCTATAGGATGTGAGTTGACAGTTTTGGTTTCATCATCATCATCATCATCATCATCATCATCATCATCATCACAACAACAACAACAACAGCTTTATTGTCATTGCATGTGTATACACAGTATACCCATACAACGAAATTCACTTAAAACCCAAAGACCATGTCCAACACACATAATAATCTCCAAACACACTCCCACCCACCACAATTTCCCACCCCTAAACCACCCAAAAATCCGCACAACGGACCAAGTAATGTTGTCCAACAGCTCACTGATGGTGGCCCTTTAGTTCATTGTTGAATGCAATTATAGCTCTGGGATTAAAAACTATTCAGAATAATAATAATAATAATAATAATAATAATAATAATAATAATAATAATAATAATAATAATAATAATAATAATAATAATTTTATTTCTATACCGCCCTTCTCCCGAAGGACTCAGGGCGGTGTACAGCCTGTTTAAAAACACAAACAAAACAACAATATAAAATTTAAAATAATTAAATAAAGTGGCTCAGATTTAAAACCCCAATAAATTTAAATATCCCAATTTAAAAACTATTGTGTTGCTAGTCTGGCCTGGCGGAATAATAGGGTCTTCAGTGCGCAGCGAAACGCCCGGAGGTCGGAGATCTTACGAATTTCCGGGGGCAGTTCGTTCCACAGGGCTGGGGCTCCCACAGAGAAGGCCCTCCCCCTGGGCGCCGCCAGTCGACATAACTTGGTTGACGGCACCCTGAGGAGACCCTCTCTGTGGGAACGGACTGGTCGGTGGGAGGCTATTGGTGGCAGAAGACGGTCTCGGAGGTACCCGGGTCCTATGCCATGGAGTGCTTTAAAGGTGGTAATTAACACCTTGAATCGCACCCGGAAGACCACTGGGAGCCAGTGCAGCTCGCACAGGAGGGGTGTCACATGGGCACAACGAGTTGCGCCCATAACCACCCGCGTGGCCGCATTCTGGACCAGTTGGAGCCTCCGAGTGCTCTTCAAGGGGAGCCCCATGTAGAGAGCATTACAATAGTCCAACCGGGAAGTAACAAGGGCATGAGTGACCGTGCGTAGGGCGTCCCGATCCAGAAAGGGCTGCAACTGGTGAATCAGGCGAACCTGATAAAAGGCCCCCCTGGCCACGGCCGTCATATGCTCTTCTAAAGACAGCCGTGCATCCAGAAGGACACCCAGATTGCGAGCCCTCTCTGTGGGGGGCAGAGATTCACCCCCAATAGTTAGCGATGGCACCTGCTGACTATATCGGGGCGCCGGAAGCCACAGCCACTCGGTCTTGGAGGGGTTGAGTCTGAGCAAGTTCTTCCCCATCCAGACCCGCACGGCCTCCAGGCAGCGAGACATCACATCAAGGGCATCGTTGGGGTGGTCTGGGGTGGAGATGTACAGCTGAGTATCATCAGCGTACAGATGGCACTTCACCCCAAAACCATGGATGATCTCACCCAGCGGCTTCACATAAATATTGAACAGGAGGGGCGAGAGGACTGACCCTTGTGGCACCCCCCATGTGAGACGCCTCGAGGTCGACCTCTGTCCCCCTGCCAACACAAACTGTGAGCGGTCGGAGAGGAAGGAGGAGAACCACCGCAAAACGGTGCCCCCTATTCCTAACCCCCTCAACCGCTGCAGCATGATACCATGGTCGATGGTATCAAAAGCCGCTGAGAGATCTAATAGGACTAGGACAGAGGAGCAACCCCTGTCCCGAGCCCTCCAGAGATCATCCACCAACGCGACCAATGCCGTTTCTGTGCTGTACCCCCGCCTGAAGCCCGACTGGTACGGGTCTAGATAGATAGCTTCATCCAGGTGTCGGGAAAGTTGTCGTGCCACCACGCTCTCAACAACCTTCGCCACAAAACGAAGGTTGGAGACTGGACGATAGTTAGCTAATTCAGCCGGGTCCAGGGAAGGCTTCTTGAGGAAGGGCCTCACCACCGCCTCTTTCAAGGCGGCAGGAAAGGCACCCTCACTCAGAGAAGCACCTATAATCCCCTGGAGCCAGCCTCGTGAAACCTCCCGGGAGGCCAGTACCAACCATGAGGGGCACGGGTCCAATAAACATGTGGCGGCACTAATCTTACCCAGAACTCTGTCCACATCCTCGGGAGTCACAGGATCAAACTCCTCCCAGATAACATTCTCAAGACCTGCCCCGGTCTCCTCCCGTGGACTCATCCAATCGGAGTTCAAGCCATCCCGAATCCGAGCGACTTTATCATGCAGGAATTGCACAAAATCCTCAGCACGACCCTGCAAGGGATCTTCCCGTACTCCCCCCCGAAGAAGGGAGTGGGTCACCCTAAACAGGGCAGCTGGGCGGTTCTCTGCAGATGCAATAAGAGCGGAAAAATGGTTAGATTTTGCCGCTTTTATCGCCACTAGGTAGGTCTTGATATAAGACCTCACCTGTGTCCGGTCAGAATCGGATTGACTAGTCCTCCAAATGCTCTCTAGGCATCTTTTCCGACGCTTCATCTCTCTCAGCTCCTCAGAGAACCAAGGAGCTAATTGAGATCGGCATCGGGTCAGAGGCCGCAAAGGCACGACGCGGTCCAAAGCTCCAGCGGCCGCCCTTTCCCAGGCGGCCACCAGTTCTTCAGTCGAGTCGTGTATTAGAGCCTCAGGAAACGGCCCAAGCTCCGTCAGGAACCTTTCGGGATCCATCAGGCGCCTGGGACGGAACCATCTGGTTGGTTCCGTCTCCCTGCGGCAGGGGAAAGCAGTAGGAAAGTCTAAGTGAAGGAGCGAATGATCTGTCCATGACAAGGGTTTGATGTCTAGGTCCCCTCTACCAAGATCATTCAACCACTGACCAGAGATAAAAATCAGGTCCAGAGTGTGTCCCCCTATGTGAGTGGGGCCTTGAACTAACTGGGTCAGGTCCAAGGCTGTCATGGAAGCCATGAACTCCCGAGCCACCTCTGACGCCCCACCTGTGGATGGGAGGTTGAAATCCCCCATGACAATAAGTCTGGGGGTATCGACCGCCACCCCGGCAATGACGTCGAGTAGCTCGGGCAGGGTTGCTGCCACGTGGCAGGGAGCCAGGTACGTAGTCAGCAGACCCATCTGCACCCCACGGCCCCACTTCACACAAAGGGACTCACATCCGGCTATCTGAGGAACAGTGGTCTCCCTCGGATAAAGACTCTCCCTAATGATCACCGCCACTCCCCCACCCCTCCCCTGGGCCCTTGGCTGATGAAATGCACGGAAACCTGGTGGGCACATCTCTACGAGGGGGACCCCCCCCTCTTGGCCCAACCAGGTCTCCGTAATACCTGCCAGGTCTGCACCCCCCTCCGAAATAAGATCACAGATGAGGGAGGCCTTATTAACCACTGACCTGGCATTACATAACATCAGCCGCAGACCCTGGGCATGAGGCTCTACACAACCCAGGACACGAGTCACGCATTGGGGGCCGGAGTGCGCAATCGCTCAGAGACAGCGTGTGCGCACCCCCGACACTTGATATGACCCCCTGCGCCCGTCATACCTGCCCCCCCCACTCATGATTTCAATTACACAGCCCTTTCTATCGTCCCCCTGCCCCCCAGTTAAATTTCATTTCGCGACCCCTCTGCTGCAGCTAATTAACCCATCATCCCGTGCAGTCGCTATCTGGACCCCCCCAGGTCCACTTTTACAACCCCCTCCCTCCCTCCCGGGTCCCCTTAAAATTTTCCTTAAAAATTTAGCTAAAAAAACCCCTCAGCCCCCTCTTTGCTGCATGCCATCTCTCGGGGTCCCAAAGCCCGTCATCAAGATAGGCCCTCGATAACGTGGAGGGCCAGGCCTGCGAGAGGGGGGAGAGGGGGAACCAAAGATGGGAAAAGAAAAGCCAGTCCGGGAATCTGTCATAGTCCAAGGGATAACTGAGCATAAAGGTCATAAAATATCCATTTATAGGGCTGGACTCCACTGTCCTCTCACGACAGAAGGCGTGTGGTCTGAGTTTTAATTGTTCTATATCTTCTGTCAGAAGGCAACAGTCCAAAAAGATTGTAAGCAGGATGGGAAGAGTCTCTGAGAATGTTATGCAACTTCCTCAAACAGCAAGATTTGAAGATGTCATCCAGGGCTGGTAGCTGCAGCCCGATGATATTATGGGCAATTTTAATGATTCTCTGTAGGGCTTTTTTGTCCGCTACAGAGCTGCTCCCATACCATGCAAGAATATCGTATGTCAGGACACTCTCAATGGTGCTGCGATAGTAGGACAGAAATAGATGCTGAGATAGATTTATCTTCCTAAGCATTTTCAGGAAGTACAGCCTCTTCGGTGTCTTCTTCACAAGCTTGTTAACATTCATAGTCCATGAGAGGTCCTTCGAGATATAAGTGCCCAGAAATTTAAAATTACCATCCCTCTCTACCTCCTCACCATTTATGTACAATGGTAAATGTACACCTCTCTTCCTCCTGAAGTCAATTATAAGTTCTTTAGTTTTTTTGGTGTTGTGTAAGATTATTTTCTTTACACCACAATGTCAGCCCTTGTATTTCCTTTCTATAAACAGAGTCATTGTTCTTATTAATGAGCCCCACCACTGTTGTCTCATCCGGAAATTTAATAATTGAACTGGTTTTATACAATGGGGTGCAGTCATGTATGTACAAGGAATAAAGGAAAGGGCTTAGCACACAATCCTGGGGGGCTCCTGTGCTTAGTATCAGAGTAGAGGAATGGTGAGATCCCATCCTTACTGACTGTGGCCTATCTGTCAGAAAATCCTTTATCCACAAACAAATCCTCTGATTTATACCCAAATTGGACATTTTAAGAAACAACCCGTTGGGTAAAATGGTGTTAAAAGCAGAGCTATAATCCACAAATAAAAGCCTCACATATGTCCCCTGTTGTTCCAAATGATTCAGTACAGTATGGACAACAATAGACTTAGAAGCGGGAGCATGTTTTCAGACATTTGCTTTGGGAAAACCAAGTGCATTTTATTTGAATGGGACAATTTTTTATTTAAATTTTAGATGTAAGATGTTCTTCTCCCCATCGAATTCAAAATGGTCAGATTATTGGTGAAATAAAGGCAAAGTATTTGCCCCGGGAGAAGGTGCAGTATCGATGTTACATAGGTTATGCTCTTCTTGGATCTCCTTTCATTACATGTTCGAAGAATGGTTGGACAGAAACACCACGTTGTACAGGTATTTATGTGCAGATCTTCACTATGTAGAAATGAAGATAGAATCGGAAATGAATTTGCTTTTACTTCACTGTCTCTTTCATGTTACTTTGAAAAAGTTCTATCAGGCTTTTTCAATATTTTATTGCTAGAATTGTAAAATTTAATGTCCCTGTTGAACTGTGAAAGTACAATATATTTTCATTAACATTGTCCCTCTTCTACAAAAATTTGAATTTCTACTTATATAAATCTATTCAGTTCATTTCATAGCTAGAAGTCTTTTCTCATTTGAAAGAGTATGTGACTTTTGGAGCACAAACATGGATTTCTATTTCAAAATTAGCCTCTCCTTCTCAGTCCTATGATGTCATAGAACATAAAACTGGTTGTTATTTAAAAAATCTCATATATATTACATATATTACTTATGTTAACTTCTCCATCTGTTTTCACACCTATAGTCATCATTCTACCAAGATATGTAGATTGACCCATTTGCTTAATTTCTCCATTTATTAAAAAAATTGTATTCTCCTTTCCCTTTCAAATTTAATCATTTGAGGGTTTCCTACATTGCTCCTCATTACACCATTCACATGACTAACATTCACTCAAATCATTTACATTCTCAGCCAACATAGTGACTTCACCCATAAATGAAATTATGTTCACATTCATGTCCCCAACCAATGCAGGCCTCCTTATAAGGGCTTATTATACTTTTATAAAGGAATATATAATAATTACGCAACACCGTGTGTGTGTCTCACATATCCATGTCTAACGTCCTGCTTAGTTAAATGCTCCCTTGACTGTCATGCTTGCTTTCTCTCTAATACCTCTATTATCATATTCAGCAACCAACTTTCAACTCTACACAAAATCTTCCAAAATTTCAAGCCAATTTTCCATTATTTCATAATTCACTTATTTTCCTCCAGGGTACCAAGGCCTAGTCAAATACTGTAACCACTTATCATTGAAAGCACATTTTAAAATTTCTCCTGATGTAGCATCAAATTTGCCCATCCCTACCATTTTTCATCATTTTCTGCCTTTTTCTGACTTTTCCTTTGATGCTAATATCAGTAGCATTCAGTTCCATACCTTTCAATTCCATCCTTCAATTTATCCCTATTATTTGCATTATAACTTCTATAATGGGAAGGAGGACTTGGGCGATCATCTTCAGGGCCATGTGGAGGAATTTGTGAAATATCTGATGGGAAAAGTTGCTTGTATCTATTCTCAGTAGGAGACCAAACATAGAGCAGGTCCATTAGAGATTCCCAGGGAATGGGCTTACCCAGGTATCTGGGAACAGGTTGATTCTGTTAGATCTGAAGAAGTGGACAGGGTCCTTAGGGCTGTCAGTGCAAGTGCCTGCCTATTTAATCCATATCACTCCTAACTGGTGAAAACCTCCAGTGGTGATCAATGCATCACTGCAGAAGGGGGCATCCCTGGGATCTTTTAAGGAGACATTAGTCTGTTCCCTCCTTAGATGCTGTGGGTGACTGGATGGGGGACAATAGGCTTGAACCCTGGTAAGACTATGTTGCTATGGCTTGGAGCTTGGGATCTGGGAATTTAAAATCTTCAGTTCTGGATGAGGTTGGGGGTTACAACCTGTGGGTTCTTGTAGACTTACAATGCCTGCTCAACGGCACATGTAACTTTTCTGTTACATGAGTTGCACTAGTTGCTGTTTGCTTCCAAGTCCAATTAATATGTTAGTTATCATCTTTAAAGGCCTTCATGGCACAGGGGACTATGTCACCCCAGTGGGATTGACCCACCCCACTCACTCTGGCAAAAGGAACATGCTGCAAACCTCCTCAGTCAAGGAACTTTGCTAGCAGGATCTGGTAAATGATCTTTCTCTGCCATGCCTCCACAATCTGGAAAATCTTGCTGTTGGATATGAGATACGCCCTCACCCTCTAGGCCTTCTGGATTTGCCTTAAAACCTGGGTCAGCCAATTGACTTGGGGCCATGATGGAGCTCTTTACACTGGAAGTGACTGGTGAACTAAGAAAGAAGGTTCTACCACTGTGATGCTTATGTACTAGTTCCTAGTTTTAATCAATCTCTATTAATTTTAATGTTTATAATTTTTTAATGTTTTTTCTATTCTTGCTTTTATTGTGTTGCAAGCCTCCTATCACTTCAATACTGAGATGGATAGCACAACATCCAGTACAACTACACAATTGATTTGTGCAGAGTTTGAACAGTTATTAATGGAAAATGGGTAATAAAAATAAGAACATCTTGTGGGGAGATGCCGTTTGTCCGAAAGCAATTGCTATTTGTTTAAATACAGATCTGACTTTAGGTATTAAGAAAGTAATGACTATATTTTCTGAAGTTGAAAGACAACACTAAGGACAGCAGTAGTAATCATTTTCTGCCTATCAATTGACCAAGCTGTATGATATTGTTACTTTTTAAAAATAAGAATTAGTATAATTTTGAAATGACTATGTTTCTTATGAATATGTTTAAAATGTGTCTCTGTGTGTGAATACACTATAATATTTGTAATCATGAGGACTCTTGCTCAATAGATTCTGTATCTGTTATAGATATTGGGGGAAAATGTGGACGTCCACCTTATGTGGAGAATGGAGACATTGTGGACTCACCCAAGCTAATCTATTTACATTCTGAAAGTGTAATTTATCAGTGCCAAAATTATTATACAATGCAAGGTTCTCCAAGAGTGACTTGTCAAAATGGTCGTTGGTCACAAACACCAACATGTAGAGGTATAAGTAATATCTTTAATTCTTTATAGATTTAATCTTTATAGAGAAATATTTTATTTTGGGAATGGAATAAATTTCACACATCAGACATGTTATGTCAGTATGTTAGTGCCAGAAAATATTTTACTTCCTTGTAATTGAATAAAAGTAGTAGTATTATGAACCAAGATAAAGTAACTTTCTCAGGGAGAAACTGCTTCATAATGGAGAATTGTACAAGATCTTTTGCCATGTACAAATGTTGTCCTCATTTTGTGAAACCCTCCTGGTGAAATTCTGCTTTCCCTAAGCTATATTTCATAACAGACATCTTTTTAGTCAGTGGCATTATTGATAAAATTCAGATTTTAGTTTACTTGAGTTCAGCAAGTAGATTTTATTTTTCTTAGTATTTCACAGATCAGAACACTGGGCCCTCCATTATCATCATCATGCCATCAGTCAGTCAATCAATCATTCCTTGAACAAAAATTACAAAAAGTCATGTTTCCCAACAATCCACTAGGGCTCTTTTTGAATGATAGTATAAGTTGAATCTCTAGGGAACTAACATTATTATTTTTTAAATAGGCTAAGTATGGATGAAGACTCTGTTGACTTAATCACATCTACCCTATTTAGTCAATGTTGAAAAAGAAGATATGAGGTGACATTGTAAGAGAAGTTGCCTGAACCTGGTTTTCTCCTAATCCAGATATTCAGTATGAGGAAATTTGGAAGAAGGGGACTAAAATGTTTTTCTTCTTCCTTCTACACATGTAACATTGTCTTGCTTAAAAGAGTTTTAATTCATGACTGATAATTAGTTCATGAGAGACAAAATAAAATAAAAGGGGGGGGAAATCCATTTACATAGATCTCTAATCATTTTAGCCTATTGCAACATAGAATTTCTAACCTAAATTTTAATTGCTTTATCAAATGAATTCCTCAGTGTAAAACTTTCTATTTGTCATCTGATCTGTGTCCTTTTTCAGCTGCTTGTTCAGCAAGTGAAGAAGATTTGAGAGAACACAACATAAGGCTGAAGTGGGACAACGGGGATAAAATATATTCTCAGGATGGAAATGTAGTGGAATTTGTATGCTTAAGAAACTACATACCACATCCAGATACCAGATCATTTAGAGTTAATTGTGTGGATGGGAAATTTAACTATCCGCGTTGCATTCCTGTATGTATATTTTCAGAAAAATACTTTAATTCACCAATATTAACATTTCTTTCGCTTGTCTATATCTATATACCTATATATCTATATCTGTGCATTAAAAAAAATCACTTGAAATATTTAAAAGACCTAGGTCTGGCAGCTAAATTTGTTGATGTAATGTTTTCTAAGGTAACTTGGTCTTCTGCATTTCTTCTAAATCAGAACACTTCTTAACAGACTTGATTTAAACATTGATCATTGATAGACAGACTTGAACATTGGGTGCTATCTAACAAAACGAAATTCCATGTTGAAAAAAGTAAGTTTCTACATTTAAGCAAGAAAAACAAAATGCACAGCCATAGTGTAGGTGGTACCTTGCTCAATAGTAGTAATTGTGAGAGGGCTCTTGGAGACAATAATTTAAATATGAGCCAGCAGTGTGCTGCAGCTGCCAAAAAAAAATCAACACAGTTCTAGACTGTATAAACAGAGGGATAGAATCAAGATCACGTGAAATGTTAATACCAGTTTATAATGTCTTGGTAAGGCCACACTTGGAATACTGCAAACAGTTTTGTTTGCCATGATGTAAAAAAGATGTTGAGATTCCAGAAAGAGTGCAGAGAAGAGCAATAAAGATGATTTGGGGACTGGAGACTAAAACATATAAAGAAGGGATGCTGGAATTGGGTATGTCTAGTTTAATGAAAAGAAGGGCTGGGGTGACATGATAGCAGTGTTCCAATATGTCAGGGAATGCCACAAAGAAGAGGGAGTCAAGCTATTCTCCAATGCAACTGAGGGCAGGACAAGAAGCAATGGATGGAAACTAATCAAGGAGAGAAGCAGCCTAGAATTAAGGAGAAATTTCCTGACAGTTAGAACAATTAATAGGTGGAAAAACTTGCTCCAGAAGTTGTGAATGCTTCAACACTGGAAGTTTTTAAGAAGAGATTGGGGACAACCATTTTTCTGAAATGGTATAAGGTTTTCTGCCTGAGCAAGGGGTTGGACTAGGAAACCTCCAAGGTCCCTTCCAACTGTGTTGTTTTGTTAAGATTCATTTGTTAAGCACTATGGGGACGGGGTTAATACTTAAAAACAATGAGGAATGGGGCTGGAATGCTGAATCTGCCAGCATTTCATCTCTTCTGGTCTGTTGATCAATCCTGACAGATTCCAAGATGAAGACCTCTATGTTAAACCCAGTGGGCTATTTTCACTTATTTCATTGGTCGCAGTCAACAAATTTAGTTGCCTCAAAATGAATGGTTCCAAATGAACACACATACATTTTACTTTATTTATTTCATTTGCATTGATATTGAAATATTCTCCTGGCTTTTGAACTTGCATATGCAACTTACTCACTTGTGTGTCTAGATGCATATTTATAAATACCTATCAGAAGCCACAGGACCAGAAATCCAGTGGGCTATTTTCATTGATTTCATTGGCCTCAGTCATCAAATTTAGATGCCTGAAAAAGAATTGTTCCGAATGAACACTCATACATTTTACTTTATTTATTTCATTGCATTGATATTGAAATATTGTCCTGTCCTTTGAATTTCCATATGCAATTTACTCACTCATGTGTTTATATGCATATTTATAAATACCTACCAGAAGCCGCAGGGCCAGAACAAAAAGTAAAATTACTAAATTAGTAACACTTGATAATAGCAATAGCAAAAGCTCTTAGTCTTATAGACCACTTCATAGTGTTTTACAGCCCTCTCTAAGCGGTTTACAGAGTCAGCATATGGCTCCCAACAATCTAGGTCTTCATTTTATCAATCTTGGAAGGATGGAAGTCAACCTTGAGCTTGTCGGGATCAAACTCCTGGCAGAAGGAATGCAGAGGTAGCCTGCAATATTGCATTCTAACCACTGTGCCACCATTGTTGTGTAATCATACATTATATATTACATGTAAAATGAGATATCCCACGAAATATTTCTAAGCTTAGAATAAATGGAAAAATAGATTGAGCAAGAACACTCTCTGAAATGAATTGGACCAGATTGATTGATTATCTATTAGTAAATGAGATTCTATTGACTTCCAGAGACTACTAGATCCAACCTAAGAATTACTTGCTTTCTGTTGAAAACTTTAGGGTGCACACTGATTGAATTTGTTGTACTGAGCACAATGAAATCAATGAAAAGAGCTCATTGGAGTTAAATTAGACTTTTCAGTCATTTCATTCTCAGGACAGAGGGATCTCCTGGTCTTCAGTTTTGGAATCTGACAGGATTCAGCATCAGATTAGAAGAGATGAAATGATGGGCAATGTTTGTGCCTCCTTGTCCCATGCCTCTTTGTTTTTAGGTATTAACCCCACTCCCCATAGAACTTCTTTCCCATTGCTCTAAATGGAAGGAATTTCATTTGGATCACAGGAATCCCCCATTATATGATGAGTTTGTATTTGAAATTGCAATTAATACAAATGCTATTAGTGAAATACAAATTTTGCTGAAATGTACATGTAAATATCAAATATATGTATAGTGTACATTTTATTGGAAATCTTCCTAGTTAACAAAAAATGATTTTTTTCTTGGCATTGCTGTGCTACAGTTCCTAGTATTCTTCTATTGGCTGTGTTGTCTGAGGATATTGTGAGTTTGTTTATTCACTGCATTTGTGTTCCATCTTCCCTCAAGTGTATCCACTGTTAGGATGAATTAAAGTTTGGTAACATCTAATTCCCCATTCCTATATTTAAAATGTTGGTGTTTTGAGTACATTCTGACTGCCAGAGCTTATATCCCAAAATATAGAGAATGCCCAATAAATTATTACAGTCTATTACATGTCATTGTGTCAAAAGTAATCTTAAAAAAGATAGAAATTGCTCAGTGATAAAATGGGCTAGAGTTCTTGAGTCTCTTGAGTAGTTTTAACCATTTGATTTAAAAACGGTGATACTGACTTTCAAAATTGTTTTGGCCATGTTGTTTGATATCTCAAAAATTATTGCAGGCTGCTTTCTGCTGCAGATCATATGAATGAGTTTAAAAAATAATTACATAAAATGTACAGATGCAAATTTATTTATTACTTACTGTTCACTTTTTATTTTAGAGAACTGCGTAAATGAAGAACAGGATATATACAGCACCCTTTAAACCAGAAGATGAACGTCTGAAATCATGTATCATTCTCTTTAATATAACCACATGAAGCTGGATTGTATACAATTATAAATGGTGGATCCAAACCTAAAAGCCTACTCTGTAAAAGACAGATTTTACCAACTGAAATTACTGTGAAAATGATAACATTTAAAAACAAGTTTATAGAACATCTTTAAGGCAGATAAAATATTATAATATAACCTTATAAATATATTTTTAAAATGCATATTGTGTGAGGAATGTAGATTTATATATATATATATATATATATATATATATATATATATATATATATATATATATATATATATATATTAATTGTAAACATTTGATTAGTCTGAATTATCAATCAACAGCCCATCTTAAAAGAATGACAATAGATAATTGAAATTGATGTTTTTACATACAGTATAGAGGTGTTAAGTTCTTTAAAAAAATTTTTTTTAAATCCATTAATCATTTTTGCTGCCAAACAATTTGTAGTATATTTTGTAAAGATACATTTAATACTTCAGTTTACAGTCTAATTCAAGATCCAGAAAGAAATTGGTGCTCTGGAAATGTTGCTCTGGAAATAGCCAAATGTATTTTGATGATCAGAATTTGATGGAAGTCCAGCCAGATGGATTTCTATACTTGTTTTTGTTTTGCTTTGCTTTTGATTGTTTGTTTTTACAATATGAAATTATATAATTATAAGTAATTAAAAATTAAGATAAAGTTTATAAATTGGCACAGGCCTTCCCAAACTACATTCCTTCAAAAGGTGTTATTTAACACAGAATGGGCTAGAATTTGCCATGTTATAAATTCAGTCTGATTCATTGCTCTATACAAAGTGAACCCATTCAAAACAAACCTTGTAGCACCTTTTTGGATTGCCAACTCCCTTCATATTTTTCATTACCCTAGACTAACAAGGCTATGCTTCCTTTAATGAACAAAGTGAAGGGAACTTCATAAGGAATTTGATGTGTCCTTTTTGAATATGATAGAGCTGTTTGGTGGAAACTTATACAGAAGTATAAGATGTTATCTCAATGGCCAATGAGTTCCCAATGGAACTCAAATCTTAATTGATTTGCTAGATTAGGTCAGCCGCTGCTGCAGTTGATGGAATACAAGTAGTCCTCATTTAGCATCCACAATTGGAGCCAGCAATTCAGTTGTTACAAGAAATAGTTGCTAAGTGAACAATTGTGTGACTGCAGACTTATGTTTATGGTTTTACTTCAGGCCTATCAAACTGGCAGCCCGCGGGCCGGATGTGTCACATGCAGGCCACACCCATGCAAAGGCAAAAAAGTCCCAAAATGTCCTGATGCATCACGTGACACGATCGAGTTTGACACCTGTGCTTTATAGCATCAGATGGATATGACCCCATATGCCCAATTGAAGAGAAAGGTTTCTGGAACTTGACTCACAAGGAAGCCAGATAACAGGGCAGATTTTGTAGCCTTTAATCCTGCTCCCTCGCCCTTTGGAATATTCACTCTGATGCTGGGATAATTCATAAGAAGAGAATGTTTATAGTTGCATTCATTTGAGGGGAAGGGATTACAAGAGAGTAAGCAGGCACACCAAGGGAAGCATACATTGAAAAGCATTCACTCTTTGCCTAGTGCAATTCATGAATCATTTCAGAGGCAAAGAAAAGCCTTTAGCTGAAACCTGGTTAAAGCATCAGTAGCAGTGCCAGACGAAGGGTTCCAATCAACTAAGATGACAAAACTGAACCAGTTAACTTGCAGTTAGCATTTTTTAGGGACGTGCTACACCGGGAAGAAAAGCAGCTCAGAAAGAATAACCTGTTTAGTCAATCTCTCCGCTCTGCAAGAGGCGGAGAAGGAAAAAATGGACCAGACACAGGACATCTACTAACTGACAATATTGCCAAACAAATGACAGGCAGAGAGATTCTGCAAAAGTTGCAAGAGATTTCTACCCAATGAAGTACACCAGATCAAGAAATCAGCTCCATGGGGAAAACAGAACTAATTTTTCGTGAGATAGACCATAGTAGCAGTATCTTGCAACTCTGCTTATCTTTTACCTTCCCTCCTTACAACCTTCTAAGTCAGGGGGAGTCAGTTTGATCCTTTTCTTACTAATTACCATATTTTTCTGAGTATAAGTCACACCTTTTTCCCTAAAAAAAGAGGGTGAAAATCTGGGTGGGACTTATACTCCGAATGTAGCCTCACCTAGCTTCTCAAATGGAGGTTTCAGAGGCTAAAAAAAGCATCAGAAAAGAAGCCCCCAAACAGAGCTTCAGAGGCTTTTATTCTGAAGCTGTTTCAGAGGCTTTCAGAGGCGGGAATTTTTTTTTTTTCTGAAACTGAGTTTCAGAAGTTTCAGAGGCAGAAAAAAAGGCAAAAAAAAAAAAAGGTACAGAGCTCACAACCAAGGAACCTGTTGCTAAAATTCACCTCTGGGAACAACTGATTGGGGGTATTCCGGGAGGCAGATGCACCTGCCAATCAGCTTTTTTCTTATTTTCCATCCCAAAAACAAGGTGTTTCTTATACTCCAAAAAATACGGTATCTCCTTTCCTGGGCTTTATAAAAAGTTTCTGCCCTTGTTATTTCTATAATTGTTTCTGAATATTCTTTCTAAGGTCCTCTCCATGATTCCCTATAGCAAAGGATGCAATATTCCAGGGTAAATTGTTTATCTAGTTGGTCCCTATTGGTTGGGCCCTATTGGCTCACATATTGAACTGGAACTCTTTCACACAAACACACACAAACAGATCAATGTCATAGGAATCTATGATGGGTGAGCATGTGGGGCCTACATCTAATACTATGGTTAAATCTTTATAACTGCATCACATGTGTGGGAATCATTAGAAACTGCTTAAAGGAAGATACAACAAAAGGAAGTGATATTTCTGCTTTTAAAGAATAGAAGGCTGAGTGAACTAGCCAAACAAAGGCATGCCACTGCTTTAGCTGCTCTGTTTGATAAATTAAAGGATCACAAGTATGCCAAATGTGATCCTCAGCTTAACATGGCAATTGGGACCAGAATTTCCATCACAGAATGGCAAAGTACAGGTAGTCCTCAATTTATGACCACAATTGAGCCCCAAATTTATGTTGTTAAGTGAGGAATTTGTTAAGTGAGTTTTGCCCCATTTTATGACTTTTCTTGCCATATTTGTTAAGTGAATCATTGTAGCTGTTAAATTAGTAACAGGATTGTTAAGTGAATCTGTTTTCCTCATTGTTTGTCAGAAGGTCCCAAAAGGTGACCACATGACACCAGGACACTGCAACTGTCATAAATGTGAGTCAGTGGTCAAGCATCCGAATATAAATCACATGACCATGGGGATGCTACAACGGTCATAACTGTGAAAAACGGTCTTAAGTCACTTAGTGATGTTGTAACTGCTTCTTTCTTCCAGGTTGGATGAAGTAGGCTTGCAAAAATAACATGCACTGTTCAGTATGAACAGAGGTTCAGACCAGAGTTTTGCAAAGTTTGCAAACATTGCAAAGTTTAGTGTCAAGAAAAAAAAAATGAACTCTATATGACAATGAGAACAGACACGCATTACAACATTAAAGTATCTTCCACTCCAACTGAGCTAATTAATATTCAAGGGAATTTCTGTGTGTTCCTGCACTAGAAAGGAACACCCTTAAATGAGAAAAATATCTAAAGAACTGAATATGCTTTTCAGCAATAGCATTTAGACTTATATATCACTTTACAGTGCTTTACAGCCCTCTCTAAGCAGTTTACAGAGTCAGCATATTGCCCCCAACAATTTGGGTCCTCATTTTACCCACCTCGGAAGGATGGAAGGCTGAGTCAACTTTGAGCCTGGTGAGATTTGAACTGCCAAATTGCAGGCAGCCGGCAGTCCGCAGAAGTAGCTTGCAGTACTGCACTCTAACCACTGCACCACTGTGGCTCACTACTGCACCACTGTGGCTGACTCATTTTAATATTAAATTATTAAATAATAAAACATGTATAATATTTCAATAATATTCTTGAGGATATTGTGTGATGCAAATCAACTCTGGAATTTAATGACTAGGACATTCCGAAGGAAACATCAGAGATATGATACATTTTTGTGTCGATCGATCAATCTATTCAATTTAATTCAATCTGATAAACGATCTGAACCAAACAAAATGATTAAATGGTACATAAACATCAGCAACAGAACATTTTTCTAGAGACCCACATGAACCTATTGCTCAATGGAACTCAGAGTCATTTGTTTATAAATACTGAGAGATGATATTCAAAATCTATCCAATTTAATTTAATTCATTAATTGGTTACTCTTGAATATACTACATATATATATATTCAATCAGTCACTCTGGAATTGTTCCCTGAATCCTTCTATCTAGCCTTTTCACTATGCTGAATTCAATATGATTTGATTACTTTAAATTTTTGACCTCCAAAACTCTCTTGAATGGTTCCCTTAACCCCCAATTTTTAAATCATTCCCTACTTGCTATTATTCAGAAAGTCACTCTGGCATTCAAAAGCCAAATGTGGCTCTAAACAAAAGTTTTGCTCCTGTACTATCAAAATAAATGGAATGGGGAGAATAGGGTTTTTCACTATCTGCATAGAGTGAGGCAATATTCTAGTCTGACCCTTTTCTATGAAAGCCTCCTTAATTTTCATCAGAGACTTGTATCTCCAGATGAGTTGCTAACTCTAGTCCAAATGCAATAACAATGATGAATAATCATTCAATAATCCTATCATTTCGTCAAAGACTGGAGACTGACGTTGAAACCACTTCCTAAAATCTTGTTAAAAATCTGCAGGGATTAGTCCGGGCAGTTGCCAGGAGTCAACACTGACTCGAAGGCACAAAACAAAAACGAAAAACTTCCCTAGGCTCACAACTAATAATTTACTATTCTGCTTTCATAGTCAAAAATATTCTGACTTGTTTGCACAGAGTATAATATACTATATTTAGAAAATCCATGGAATGCAGCTGGTAAGTTCATCTAGTCAAACTGGAAAGACACTTTGGCTGTAGTACAGAGAGCATTGTTCAGCTATCACTGTGATTGAATGGGGCTTGTACAGGATACAGTTATATGCAGTGGTGGGATTCAATTCTTTTAACAACCGGTTCTGTGGGCGTGGCTTAGTTGGGGGTGTGGCTTGGTGGTCATGTGACTGGGTGGGTGTGGCTAGCTGATCATGTGACTGGGTGGGCGTGGCTATGTGCATAGGGACTACTCAGAGGGCTGAAAAAAGTCATTTTTTATGCATTCTTAACAACCGTGTCAATCATTTCACTACTACTTCTCTTCACCACAGTGACAAGATAGGGCGCAAAACGTAAAATGTGAGGACAGTCGTAAGTTCAAGCACTGGTCAAAAATGCGAGGACCAGTCAAAAATAACTTTTTCAGCCCTCTGAGTAGTCCATATGCACATAGGACTCATCATTTATGCCATCATTTATCTTCTAGCCCTAGCTCAGAGGTCTTCAAAAAGTCCACAAATCTTAAAGCTGCCAAGTTTGAAGACCTCTGAGCTACGGCTTTGTGGCCAGCCTTTTGGGGAGGGGGTCCCACTCGGAGAGATCCCCTGCCTCTCAGGAAGCATCAGGCCCAGGCAGAGAAAGTTGCCAAGGTTGGAGATCTCTGGACTAGAAGACCTCCAAAGGTCCTTTCCAACTCTGTAATTCTGGTATTGGCAAGCAAACACAGTTAAGCTACTTAAAT